ATATCTATTATATATAGGGGTTGCTTATTCAACTTTTCTAAGACTTTGAAAGCTCAAGAGGGAGGGTTGCTTATTTTGGGGGTTGCTTACTTTCAGGACTTTACGGTACTTGTTTTCTCAGTCTAAAAATATATATTGAAAAATCATATAATTCGTTAGTGAGTATTATGCGATGAATTTAGTTAGTAATTATGTGCAACTTGTTTTCTCAGTCTAAAAATATATATTGAAAAATCATATAATTCGTTAGTGAGTATTATGCGATGAATTTAGTTAGTAATTATGTGCAATGCGGCTTTTGCAATTTATTAACAAATTTATCTATCAATGTGTGTTTTTATTGATTTAAAATAATGCAAATTTTTATTTAACTTTATTTATTTATTAAAATGTCTCATAAATGCAAAATATCTACTTTAAATGGACAAGTTTTATTAGATAATGAACTACTGAGAATGAGTCCGAAACAGAACATACTGCAAGATCAACAGTAAAAATGAAAGTGATGGTTCAGCTTCAATAACTTCACGTGAAACTTAGTCTGTGAATTTTTTCAATGATAAAATGAAGTTACAAGCTTCGTTTGTTCAATTTGCAGAGCGCATTACAAACCTTCGGGTACACTCGCCAAAATTTACATAAAAAGCACGACGATGAAATCAATAATTCGCAAAATACTACAGATAGACATAACGATAAAAGCAAGCCATATTTTTTAAAAAAAAAAAACAGACAAACGACATTAACAACTTACAAATACAATTGTAAATTTCATAGAAGTGTTTTTGGGGTTGCAAAATAAAAGATATCACTTTTTATAATCATTCTATAATGGAAAAGTATTAATAACTTTCATATCACGCTTTAAAAAAACCATACTCGAAGTAAATTTGGATCTAAACGAGTACGATTAATGGTAATATGATTTCCAGAATGAGTAATTGTGGCCCCAGGTACTTATTTTTCGCGTTCTCTATAATTATTCTATATTAAAAATTTTTATTTTATTAACAAATATTATTGATTTTATATTATACTAAAGATAATTTTATATATTTTTTTAATTTTTTAAATACTATTTGCCCGATAATTGATTATTTTGACATTCCTGATGCTTTATAATCGGTGATAATCGATTATATATTGCTAAGGGAAGTGACAAATATTAGCTAATATCCATTCTATTATGGTGACTTCCCCCTGATATTTCACTTAATGTATGCACGTGAGACTATACGTATTAACGCCTGAGATTGCCATCCCCTAAGAATATTAGTCACTCCCCTAACTGATTAATCGTAATCAATCAATTTGATCCGGATTAGACCGATTACGGATCAAACAATTCGAATATAAATTTTCCTGAAATACATATTTATCGGTGTTGAATTCACGGACTTTTCAGTGTATGTATTTACTGCTAAGTTTTACATGTTTTTCTGGGTAAATTTCACATCTGTAACCAATTTTTATGGGTATTTAAAGGACATCAGTCCAGTTTTACTGTGACAAAATATACTCGAGCAGTAAAATTAAAGTCACCATTATCACAGATAGAAAAACATATATGTAACACACTCGAATTCTGTCAAACTATTGGGTAAAACTTCCATGTTTTGTTATGGTTGTTATGGGTTTCTCCCGGATTGAGATATAGCTACGCAACAAACTATTGAGGTTTATTCAAAGGTTTATTAACAAGTCTGAAACAAGAAAAGATCATAATTTAAACTATAAAATAATCAGGCAAAAATCCGGTTTTTTAGTGCCGGAAAACCACAGGTTTAGTTATAAAATTTCCGGATTAAAAACGGAAAAAACGGGAAAATAAAAATTTATTCGGTAACTCTAGGGCATGATATGGGGTGGTGAGTCAATAGAAATCAAGCAAATTATATATGTAATACATATACAATTTGCTTGGTTTCTATCGACTCATCCCCATATCTCACGATTCACCGATCCGATTCGGACAAAAAATACACCATTCGATTCGTCAAGAATTTGCAAATAGAAAGGTGATATTCTTGTCTAGATTGGACTCGTGAATCATGAGGTAGCGTATCCTAAAATACTGGATAAATTTCTTATTTTCCCCGTTTGTTTTTTAAAAATGGGTAATATCTCATGACTCACTTAGCCAAATTGGATAAAAATAAAGCCACGTTTTTAATGAGATTTATTGGAATATTGGCTGAATTTGGTAGAATTTGGCCAGGTGGATCATGAGATAACCTTAAACTAAAATAATTAAAAAATTGATACAGTAACTTTGGGACGCGATATCTCGTGATCCACAAAGTCATTCCAGAGAAAATCATACACCATTCGATTCGTCTAGTCTTGGCGAATTGAATGGTGGTATTTTCATCCGGATTGCACTTTTGAATCACGAGATATTGCATCACCCTTTTTTTTGCGTTTTTAATCCGGAAATTTTATAACTAAACCTGTACTACAAACCAGATTTTTGCCTGATTATTTTTTATAAGGTTTGGTTCTGATGTCGGGTCTTTCTAAATTTAAGATGTATATATACTGTCATTCAAAAATTTAAAAGAAGTGATAAAGTATTTGATATGTTTACTAGGTATCTTCAGTATCTGTAACAGCTGTCAATAGGTATAAACTATACATTGTTCTTTGATGTTCTTGGTAAGGATAATATTTCTTTTGTCCTAAACCCTAAATGATTTATTCTCAACTCTTAGATTACTAAGAAAATCTAAAATTTGCTCGGTGATAGTGGAGATCTATTTTTTGGCGTCCCAGTCTCAATTGAAATGATTGAATCTTCCTTGATATCACATTTTTCTTCTTCACTCATCTGCATCTTCACTTCTCCTTGATATATGTGTGTAGTAATTCTTGAATTTTCTGTTCGAGCGCTTTCAGTTATTTGAGATGATGTGGCATTTCCTTGTGTAGTTTTTACAGCTGTAGAAAATTCCGTAATAAATTCTTGTGAAGATTGATGAATTGGAATTTCAAAGCATAGTTCTTTGGAATATAGTGTTTCCATAGGATCTGTGAATTCAGTTTCTTTAACAGCGAACTTATCAGCTTGTTTTTGAATAGTTTGTTGAGGTGCTTCTAAGATAAGTTGCTCTCGAAAAGGATGTTCCGCAATTTTTTCAGTTTCGACTGCTTTTTCTTCAGACACTGGAGTGACAACTTTTTCTTTCTCGAACCTTTCTTCCTGTGTTACAGCTTGTTCTTTCTCGAAGGCAGACTCAGTCTCCGGAAAGTTCTTTTTAATTCTTCGTCTTTGTATGAGTGTTTTTTTTGGCGTAGTCGTTTTCATCCGACGCTTCTTTTTTGGAGGTTCGATATTCTCTGTCTTTTCCTCAACATTCTTTTCTTTCGGTTTTCTTCCTCTATCATTAAAAACTCAGTTCAAATGTCAAATTATTTAATAATAATAAATATATCAATCATACCTTTTTTTTGGGACAGATCTCTTCTGGATTTTCTTGAGAGTAGTTAGAGCATTATTGCCATATTTCCTTTTGGCTGATTCTACGCATTTAGCTTCAAGCTCTTCAATATCAATATAATCAATCATAATTTTTGGTTGCAATAGTTGCAAACTTTCGAGCTCTTCTTTCGTGATTTCTTTTGATCCCTCTTGAATTTCCTCATTAGGCAGAATATTTTCTTGAATTAAAATTGCAGTGGAAACTTGTCCAACTTCCTGTGGAATAATTTCGACTACGTTTAAAGTAGATTCTATTATATCAGTCTATGTCACAAATTAAAAACATTCAATTATAAGTACACTCTTTTTACCTTTCTCCAGAACATCTTCACTTAGAGGGACTAAAACACCTTCTGGCTCGTTTTCTATTGAAGAGATGTTACTCACACCTTCTTGGGCAACTTCTGTTACAATTGAAGAAGTTACAAAAGTTGTTTCATTTGGTTGTTCTATTCTTGCTTGCATAATTTCAGTTGCTGGTTGTTCTTCAACTGATTCAGCAATAGTAGTAGTTTCCTCAGCTTGAATTGCTTCTATTATTTGTGGTGGAGATGCAGCAACACTCGGTGGTTCAATAATTGATGATGGATATTGTATATCTCCTAAAATATTGTCGATATTGATTTCTCTGCTTGAACGTTGGTCGAACTGCAAAATAAATTCAGAAGTCTCTCCTCCTTCTATTTGTACTGAAAATTTTTTGGCAATTTCAGATATACTTGATTCACTTTCGTCTCCAACTTTGGCATGAACTTCCAATTCCATTTTTTTCGAATCTTTAGTTGTAACTTTAACTTCTATTTTCGTTCTGTGTTCGCCTTCGCCATTGTGTGTTATCTCACTCGATAAAATTTCATTGTCAGTATTCGTTGTCCTTTCTTTGGTGTTATTCTCGTTCATTTCCATGTCTTGTTCTTGTTGGAAACTAGAAAAAATATTTCCCATTTGAAATTGTAATTGTTCGAAATACTCCAGATCGTTTATACCTTGAGATCTTTCTAGAAGACGTTCGTAATTCATAATCGGATGCAATAATCTATCTGAATTATTAATATCGATACTGCTAACGGCTGATGAAGAATTTGATGTCATAGAATTCTGTGAATTTTCTGGAGACTGCTGCTGCGGTGAAACTAAACGCCACTCTTCATCTCTATCGAAAACAAGTTCACTTCGGTGAAGCTTTAGTTTCTGGTTTGACGTCAGTGCTCTCATGTTGATTAAATATTAATCATATAACGATAGAGAAAAGAAAATAAACAAGGTGTAAAATCGATCGCTATTATTACGTATAGATAAGACTAATTTTAGAAAAATGTGATGCATTGCGTCGTATTGCGCATCATTATCGTTATCATTAGTTGTTTTAGTTTCAACGTAAACATTTTCGATTAAGGAATAGTTTTTTTCACTTTATCAAGTTTTGTTAGCCGATAGTTCAAATGCTTCAAAAACCAAATACTTTCAACCCTACTCAAATAATGCATCTTTATAACCGCCAACCCTATAGATGGGCGAATTTGGAACATTTGTAACTGATAGATCAGTTATTATTCAATTAGACATTACTTCCGTTTTTTAAACCCATACTAGCCTGAATTTTTAGTATGATTATACTATTTTTTATTTGTTTAAATTCAGTTCTGGATTTGTTTTGTGAATAACGCATTGTTACTCCTCATATAAGAAACTCGATTTTAAATATTAAAATACTTTCCTTTACATAAACAGACAAAAAAGCAAGTACATATTTTCAAAATACATGGAAATGCAATGCAAATCATTGGCTAAAATATTAATAGTGTAGCCATTAGAAATGATAACAACTTGTAAGAGGTAAAAGCAAAAACAGTTGGAACACAAATGGTTTGATTTGGGATCTGCTCGACCAAGTTAGACTGTTAACAGCCTTAATATCGCATTTTATTAAACCTATTATTGAAAGTTGTATTTTATTGCATTTTTATTCTATATAAAATTTGCGGTATTATAAATAAAAATTTTGCCCGGCAACAGTAATTGTATCACCGATATTTCTTACCAAAATAGAATAAAAGTGATATTCATGCTTAAGATAGGACACGTCGCAGGTAAAAATTAATGAAATTACAATTGTAGTTGGATTGAATGGATTCGTATGAAGATTTAAAATAACTTATTAAGAAGAAAAATTTGTAAAGTAATTTATTTATACTCCTTTTGTGTCTTTAGAGTATACAATTATATTAAGTAAAATTTCTCTTACATAACAAAAAAATTCAATGATGTCATATTTGTTTTTTTTGATCTCAGTACATTATCGCTTTAAAATATAATTACAAAGGAAATAAATTACATGTATGAATCACGGAATAATAATTGAAAATGAATAGTCATGATCATTTCGTGTTGTCAGTTTCGTTTATTACGTTTGTTGCATTATTTCCGACTGCCACTGTAATTAATTTCTTTTATAGTTACATATCCATTTATAGCCATATTTCTATTGTTATTCATTTAACTTTTTCAACTATTAAGTAACTAATTAAAATATACATTTTATAATTATTCAATTTCTCTTTTCAAGAATAATAATTGTAAATTTTATTATTGATAATATGAATTATAAAATAAGAAAACATTATATAATTTAAATAACTTCAAACTATAATTATTATATTGTTATAATTATTTAATAAAATTTTAAATATATTTTAAAATATAATTCATAACTATTTATTAATAAAAGATTTATTTGTAACAACAAAAATATAATATTCATTGGCTAACAGAATTATGGAATCATGCATTAATAAAAATTGAAATTTTTGTCTTATATAAAAGTTTTTAATTTTATTAATAAATAATTTTTATTTTTATATTAAAACAAAGATTATAAGTTATAATTTAACATATATTTTTTATCTACAAAGTTGTTCTAATTGCAAAGTTATTGCAAAAATTTTTGTAATTAGAACAACTTTGTCAGAAAAAAGTCCAGAAAAAATGTATGTTAACTACTCATGTTCATCAAAATTGCGAATGTTTTAGTTCGAATAAATTCTATAATCCCAATCGCAGCACTATTGGCTACACGTGAAATTCGGGTAAGTAAAGAATTGAGTTTTGACTATTCGGGGCAGATTGGAATGGGAATTTAAGATAAGAAGATAATCTTAGTGAAAATGGCACCGTTGGAGAAAGAAAACCCTGTTTTGTGGAAGTGAGAATTGTCGCGTGGGTATTTTCCTTTTGATTAATAATTATGAACAATAAATTTTTCTCGCTGGAATAGAGTTTTTGCCTGCACGTTCTTTTTCTCATGCCAAATATCATTAATCACACTTTTAATAGCATTTGCCAAGAATTCAACATTTGCCACATCAAGATGTTTGTGCTGAAATCTTTGTTGACATTATATGTTTTTAAAGCTGATCGTATTTAACAATAATAAATCAATCTATAAATTTAATAGCACATGTAAAATAAACATCATTGAAAGAATATTCTCACAGTTAAGAGATTTAATAGTCTCTAATATATTTACTTGCCATAACAAAATAAAATATCGGAACTACAGTGCTCGTCAGAAGTAACCTACTCCATAACTTTCCGTAGGTCATGTGTAATGTACCGAGCACAAAGAACATTACAAATGCTGATAATTGATACTTTTATAGATGTAGAGGGTATTGTATATTCATAAACCTTCATGCCCCAAATACAATAAATCGGTCACTTTAGGACATAACGATAATATCTCGACATCTGGTAATTGAGAGAAAATACTACAAATCAAATGGTGGTATTTTCGCTCAAATTGGATCACTAGACGTCGATCACTGAACGTTTCTTTATGCTCGGAAAATTTTGGTACATTACGGAAAGTCAATGGTAAACACAAAATGCAAAATTTATGCTTGACGGACCCGAATTTTTATAGCGATAACTTCGATCGACAATATCGTTAACGTTAAGAATTAAATTTACTGTAGCGGTATATACCAAATAAAAAATGACACCCGACTTGTTATTATCTTCACACTCGAACAGACTCGATAAATTCTATGAAAACTCCAACTATTATGACATTTCGATTATTGTTGGTGATAGCCAGAATATTCTACGTACATGTACTTTTTCAGCCCACTCAGCAATATTGGTGGCGCAGTCGCAATATTTTGCGGTAGCACTTTCTGATGCTTGGGTGAAGCGAGAACCGAATATGATGATTGTCTTTAAGAAACCGAATATCGAACCTCGAATTTTTGAAATATTGCTAAGGTAATTTCACGTCACAAACGAGGCGGTACTACTAAATAAAAGTAATAATGTATAACATTTTAATAGATATATTTACAGTGGAAAAAATCGATTTGCAAAATCATGATGTTTCAACATGTTTGGATTTATTAGTCGCAGCCGATGAGTTGATTCTCGTGG